GGATGCATACAATTTTACTCCTGTTTGCTGTGATTAGCTGCTGCTTCGCTATGCGTCTACAGTCTGTGGGGGTAAAAGGAATTTTGAAGTGCGGCGATAAGCCGGCAGCGAATGTGAGAGTCAAATTATGGGACGAAGACGATGGTTCGTAAAGTAACATTTCATTAAAATGATGCTTTAAAATAGTTAAATCAGCTGTCTCTAGGACCCGATCCGGATGATCTTTTGGATCAAGGCTACACCGACGCTAAAGGAAACTTTAAACTGCAGGTAATTACTAGGAATTAAGTTTGTGCCTCTCGAAAAAGGTGTTGACCTCTTAGAAAACAATAATTTGTTACGACTAGAAACCCAGGTAAATAAACCATTCTATTGCAAAAAAAAGGGCGCTAGTTTATTTCTAACCTAGAACTGTTTACGAGTAAGTCGGCTTGGTTCGCATGCAAAAAAAAGCAATCAATCAAAAAGGTTTTAAAGTGAAAACATTAAATATCTGCCTTCAGCGATATCTTCCTTTCATAGGGCTCAGAACGCGAAGCCACGAACATCGACCCGGTTTTCAAAGTGTATCACGACTGCGATGATGGAATTAAGGTTGTTACTTACATGCACCTAAAAGTTTTTATACTTTGTTCTCTATTTTGTCGTTACTCGCATTTTTCCATTACTTCCTTATTCATTTGAATTCTACTTCAGCCTGGTCATCGTAAAGTGAAGTTCCGCATTCCAAGCTCATACATCACGAACGGAAAGATACCGAAACGCATTTTTGATATTGGCGTACTCAACCTTGAAACCATTTTTGCGAAGGAGGAGCGCGAGTTTCTATGAAAAACATGACCTTTATGCAAAGTACTGTGGCTATGGTTGATAAAATTTTGTATCATTTTTTACCGAAAATCTCCATCTCTTAAATTCGCAACTCAAAGAATTGTGAAAAGTTTAATGCTTATTTTTTTGTAATTTTTACATTCATTGAGCATTTGAGACAATACTTGTATTAACAATATAATGATAATATGATGATAAATAAACGCGGCGAGAGAGCATCTTCTTTAACATTGTTCATATATCATAAAACGTTTCCACCTTTCCACCTAACGCGGAAGTCAACAGATAAGGAGCTTATTACGCTCAATCACAGTCTCATATGAGAATGAGGGACAAACAAAGCTTTTCTTCATTCAATCCATTGGTCATTTCTTAATCTTGGAATCTTTCCTAACAAGCAATAATAACAATAATTTGTCCATATGCGAATCAGCTTATTACAATAAAACTTGGAACTAA